GAATGCCCAACAACCCTCTACACATCCTGCCAGATGATGTTCTGTACAGGCATCAGGTCAGGATTGCTGAGAGGTATTTGGGGCTGAGCCAGCAGAGGATGTGAGCTTTGCATCTTACAGATAAGGAATCCTGTTTTCCTGAGGATGCTGGTTCACCAGCAAGGAGTGTGGAAGCTGCACAACTGTCCTGCTTGGAGGGCACAGCTGATCCCAGAGATACACTCCTCTCTGTTTGTAGGAAATAATGTGTTTAAGTGAGGAGTGGGAGAAGAGAGCTGCCAGCCCTCAGCTGGGGCTGTGCCAGCAGCTGGGAGGGCACTGAGCTCCTGAGGTACCTGCCAGAGCCATCCTGGCTGAGCCTGGGCAGGGAAGTCACCCCAGGATGTGCAAAAGGAGTCCCAGCAGCAAGGGGCTTTTCCCTGAATATTGGCCATGCCATGAGCTGATCCCATCTGCTTGCAATAGCCAGGGTGAGCAAACAGGCTGCTGGAAGCCGAAGGAATGAGAGATGGAGCCAGCAGCACAGATCGGGCTGCTTGTACTTGAGGTTTTGCTCCTTGCTCGCGTTTCCTGGGGCAGAGCTGCAGCATCCCAGGCTCCTGCAGCAGCTTCTGGGTCCCTCTCGTGGCTTGTGGAGAAAATCCTGCCAGCACCAGGGCCTTCTCGGACGCTGAAACGAGCAAAGAGAAATGCAGAGGACTGGAGAGAGCAAGGGGAGTCAAAACTGTGCCATGGGAGCTTTTTGGCCCCACAGAAAAGCCTGGTAACTGGGGAGAGTTGCCCCTTTATCAGCCCGTGGTGCCTCCCGGGGCTGCAGGGGAACAGGGGAAATCTCCTGCCAGCTCCTCTCACCTGCCACCCTGGGGGATTTTACTCAATGCAGGGAAAATAAGCAATATGAAAATGTATCCTGCTGGGATGGGGAGGTGGTTGGACTTGGGCTGCAGAGTTTGGAGCCTGGTCCTCCTTCCTAGGGAGCTGAGAACGTGCACAGAGCCGAGGGGTGTGTGGCCTGGGCTGCACCCACCTCCTGTGGGGCATCAGATCCATGTACAGACACCTTCCTTCTCCTGCCCAGGGTCGTGTTCTCTGCCCTGAGCCCCCAGCACTTGTCTGATGGGTGTGATTCCGAGCTGGGAGGTGACTGTCACTTCGTGGTGTGTTTTCTGGGAATGCTGGAAAGGGGCAGCCTTTGTTCCAGGGAAAGCCAGATGCTCCAAACCCGGGGCCTCTCAGCATTTCAGCTTCCTTCAGGCCTTTTTACAAGATGTTGTAAAGTCACTTGACAATGGGCTGTGAATATTAATGGTCTCTAAGGCCAAAGGCAGATGGAAAAGTGGAGGGTTTTTGTTATCAGTTGAAGTGGATGGTTTCTTTCATGTGGGAGCCTGTAACCTCCACAAATAAAATACCAGATGTGCTTGAATTCCATTTTCCTTAAAATAACTTGGGGATTCTCATAAAGAATAGGGATACCTACTGTTTCCAGTATTTTATTTCAAGCCTTTTGATCATAGGACCCTGACAATTATTTTTGGCTACCTGGGGCACTGCACAGGTGGGCAGACAATTGCTAAAGATAAAGAGCATGGATATATAACCTTCTGCAAGGCTTTAAATCCTGGAGTGATGAGTGCCTAGAGGGAGCACAGAGATGTACAGGTGAGGGGATGGCTGATTTCAGTCTGAACTGGGGTGTGTTGGAGCTCTGTGCAGGTGCTGGTCAGGGCTGAGATGCTGCAGAGGAGCTGCTGGGGGCTCTGCCTTGTGCTTGTTTCTCTGTGAGTTATTTGGGAAACAAGCAGAAAATAAAAGCAGATACCAGTTATATTGCATGGATATCTTTCCTCTAGTTAGGCTCTGATTCCTGCTTACCTATAATTCAGTGGGGATGTGAGTTACCTGGAGATTGGTGTTCTCAAGTGAGCATGTGCACAGCAAGCTCAGAGCAACACCCTCCTCCCTGCTCCTAACTCTCCCTTAAAAAACAAAAAGCAAACTTGTGTGTATTTTACAAACAGGGATTGACTGAAACCAAGTTTGAATGGAAGTCTTGTAAGACGTTTTGTATTGAATTTATCTGCAGTTCCATGGCACTTCATTCAATGCATGGCTGAAAGGAGGGGCAGGAAGAAGCCTTTTCTCAGGGAACAGGTTCCTGGGAGCTCCTTGATGTGCATGACCTTGGATATCAAGTGTAGGTGGAGCCTGTGGCTGTGGTCCAGGCGACCCATACTTGGTTTCAAGGGTCTGCAGGGAATCTCTGGAGGGGAGGAGCAGATGCTGTGCATGAGCTGCTGCTGTGGGGGAACCCTGAGAGTCCCCTGCTCCATCTCCATGAGGATGGGACTGCAGGAAGTACTGGCTTTTGGTGCTGAGGTGGGAACTGGCTCAGTGGTGATCTTGGACACTGGCTTCTTTTGGTTTGTTTTGAAAAACCATCCCATGCAGGTGACAAGGTACATTTCCTGGTGCTGCATCTCTTGCAGGCAGAGAGAGGCACTGGCATGAAGCAGAATGGTCTCACACAGTCCTGCCTCCACCCACCTCTCCACTCCACAGCTGAGTTTCTGAGCAGCAAATACCAGTCCAAGAAAGCTCTAGGCAGGAGGATGTTGTAGGAAAAAAAAGCTAATGTAAGGGGATGTTCTCAGGATCCCCTGGTCTGAGGGGCAGGTTTGGGTCTTGGCTGAACCAGCAGCTTTGAGCAGAGGTCAGAGCTGAACTGTGGTGGCTCCTGGGCAGGAGTGAGGAGTCAGGACACCAGGGTGTGGAGCCTGTGCTGGGGGCATGAGGAACAAACTTCTCTGTCCTCATGGGTGCTGTGGTTCAGCCATGGGGAGGGAAAGCTTCATAATGCTTTGATAAATACAAGCTCTAAGAAGCTGACAGCAGTGTTTGCAGAGGCTGACCACACTGCTTATTTTTACAAAACATGGAGGCAAGAATAACTCCTGCTCTCTGTGTCCTTCTGGGGAAACTTGGGGCTTACGGGGAAGCTGCTGAGATTGTGTCCGTTTAAAAGATTAAAGGGAACTTTATAGAAAAGCTGCTGTTAAAAAAAAAAATAACAACAGCAAAGTAGCTCCTTCAATTGTTTTAGACTTCAGCTCTATCCAGCAGATACCCAGCAAAGCTGCAGAGCCTTAAGCTCAGGGACAAGCCCTCTCCATGGGCTGCTGTGCCAGGTGGAAATGGGGCTGGATCCCGACAGACACGGGCTGTGGGCTCTGGGGGAGCAGAAGAGAAGCAAGATTTCTCTGCAGTAGCAGAAGGAAATGTACAGGGTGCAGTATGGCTGAAGCATGTGCTTCTGGCACAGCTACAGCTCATTATTCTTCCACCCAGACCAAATTCCTTAAAACAGTATTTGTCTCCATTTTTCTCCTTTCTTTTAAGAAGGAAACGCTTCTTTACAGGGTGAAAAAAGTAGCTGCTTAGGCACAAATACATTTTTAGAGTGCCTTGCTTAGTGCCAAACGTCAAAAATTTGCCAGCAACTGATAAATCTTTTTGAAACCTCCCCATATATTTCACATGTCTCACTGAAACTTGGCATTTCCTAATCTGGGCTTGATTTTGATTTGTAGCTGAGAATAATGAACTGGCGCTAACGCTGGTGCAGCACAAGGTCCCGTCCTCACTGCTGGGCACTGCTCCTCTGCTGGACACAGTTGAGCTTTCTTTTTGGATTAATTAAGGTCATTCTTACGTGTTTTGGTGAGGTGTGGAAATGCTTGAATAGCAGGGATCTCCAGTGCTTGGGAACAGGTTCCAGCTGGGCTCTGGGGAGGATGCTGCTTTAGTGGTAGGGGACCCTCGGGCTCGTTGGGGTCTCATTTGGGTCTCATTTGGGTCATTGCCTCCCTGGGAGCTGAACTGAGGAGTGGGGGGAACCAGTGGCCAGGAAATGAGGAAGCAGGGGGGTGGTGATTCCTTCATTTTCACCTGGGGATTAGTCATTCACTCTGTTTAATTTGAGAAAGGTGCTCTGACCCACGCCCTGCGGAGGGGAAGGGGAATCTCTGGTCCTGGTGATGGGATTTATTCTGGACTTGAGTTACAAAAATTGGTAGAAAAAATACACTGTGTGGATATTCTAATTTTTTCAAACTTTTCATCTTCCCTGGATTTATTTAGGCAACTTGTGTGGGTTTACTTGAAGGAATTCTAATGGAAAAGTGTAACAGTTTTACCCCTCTGATTTAAAATGAGAAAGTAGAAGTTCTAAACCAACAGATCTTTAATGGAAAGAAATCTTCTCATTTTCGGGACCAAGATCCCAGAGTGAGGCATCATGTTGTGCTAATGAATCTATTGCTATCCCTGGGAGTGCCCACATTCCTCCAGGACAGGAATCCTTTGGGCAGTGACATCTCCAGTGTTTGAGGACGTAATGAGGGGGATCATTTTGTGCTGGTCAAACTTCCTTCTGGCCCGGAAAAGTCAACCGTGGGAAAATCAGCTGCAAGGGAGCAGTGAGTTGTGCCCTCCTGCAGGCCGGGCAGCAGCAGCAGCTCAGCTCTGCTGCCCCTTCTCCTCTGTTCCAGATGTCAACGAGTGCGAGGTGGGGAACGGCGGCTGCGAGTCCCAGTGCTGCACCACCCTGGGCAGCTTCTACTGCGGGTGCCCGGCGGGGCAGCGGCTGCAGCGCGACGGGAAGACGTGCACAGGTACTTCTGCAGCCACCACGGGCTGCCTGGGAGCTGCAGGCTGGTCGTGGCCACGGTGCCAAAGGCTTTTGGGGTTCTTCTCTCCTCCTGCACCTCTGCCAGGCTTCTGGTGGTGTTCAGCCATCCGGGCAAGTTCTCTCTTTGTGCTGCAGGCTTAGGGGTGTACGTGGCAGCTGTAGAAGGAAAGGTTTCCATGAGGTTTTCAGGCTGAGGTCTTGGCCCTGTTGAAGTAGATGGTGTCTATTTTATTGCTTCAGAAGAGATGAGATTTCCCCAGCAGAGTTGATGTCATCATGTCGTTTCCTCTCTTCTGCTTTAAATCCGCTTTCAAACCCAAATGGAAGAGAAAACACTATTCTGTGTCTGTAAAATGAAGATACTGGATGGGGTTTGTGTTAGCCTGGTACCAGAGCAAGTCTCATGTCATATGGGCCATCTCAGGTCCCACAGCCTGGGTCTGTGCTCTCCTGCACTGGATGGATCCCCTGCCTCTTTCTCCCCGGCGGCGTGTTCTGGCCAGGCTGGAGCTGAGAGGCAGGAACATGCAAAAAGCCATTTGCTTATCGGAGCCAAGAGCAAGATACATTCCTTGGAGTGTCTTGTGGCTCCAGGATCCACTGATGGTATCTGAGAAGGGCACCTTCACAGGGCTCCTGCAGAGCAGAGGTCTGAGGCTCAGGTGTTCTCCAGTGCGACACGGAGCTGCTGCTGCCCTGCCTGGCTGCCCGTGCCTTCCTGCTGCACCTCCCACATCTCCTCAGCACTTAGCAGAGGTCCAAAAGTATCTGAAATAATTAACAAGGACTGCTGACAAACTGGGGAAGAGTGATTTCTGTGGATATCAGTTTGGACACTAAAGAATTCTGCAGAAAAATGTCACTTTCTTGCCAGTTTGGTACATTTGTCTTGTTTTGTTGAAAATAACTGAAAAGTATTTCCTGGCTCAGCACCACTGTAGAGATGTGTGAAATAAACAGCTCTGCCCTTATCTTAGCCAAGCTAAAATATTTTCAGTTTCCCCAGAATTCCCCTGATGGGGATTAACTTCTTGGATGATAAAGAGGTTTGGTGGAAACAAACAACCCTTTTAAAAAAATTCATATTATTTCTATTAGGGGAGCCAGTGTGAATCCCCTTCTTACGTTACTTTTTCTTCTGGTATCAGATAAGAAAGAGTTTCCAAATGCCCTGGGTGCTGATGCATGTGGGAAGAGGAGTGGACAGGATCAGGTCTGTGTTTGTATGGGCGAGTTCAGAACAGACAGAAGGCACTGATTGATGTTTACAGCTTGCAAAATATTCAGCTTTTCTTGATCAAAGTCCTGATGGAGCATGAATAAAGCAGCCTGGGCTTCCAAACATGAGGTATTTGGAGCCCTTCGCTGTGTTGGACGGGAGGGTTTGGACTTTGCCTCCTTCCTGAGGGTGGCCAGGGATGATGTGTTGGGCTCAGGGGCCTGCACTGCAGTTCACTTGCTTCACCCTGTGCCTGGATTCCTGGCTGGAGTGATGTGGCCCTGGCCTCTCCAGAGTCCTCCCCTTTGGAGCAGGACAACCAGCTGCACCATCACGTCAGCAGGACACTCTGTGTGCAGGGGCAGGAACCTGCCAGGCCCAGGGTTTGCTCCTGAGGTAGGGAGCTTTTCAAAGGAAAAAAATGTAGTCTTGGCTACATGAGGACTTCCCAGGCTCTCCTTCCCACCCTGCTTGGGGACAGAGGGGTGTTCCAGCCCAGGGAGGGTGTGCTGCACTCCTGCCCAGCTCATGTTCTCCTTGCACACAGGGGTTCAGAGCCCTGTGCCATGCACTGCAGCCCAGCACTGCTGTGGGCTGGGTCTCCTGCACTGTCTGTCCATCTGGCTCAGGTTCAGCCAACCTTGCAGCACAGGGACAGAGCACTCCAGGGGCTCAGGGTGTCTTTGCTAAACTGATTGGAATTGGAAATTCCTCTCGATGTAGGCAGATCCATGTGCCCTCAGCTGAGAGACCATTAGGAGACACAAGTGGGGAGCAAGCTCCCTAAACCATAACTCTCTGCTAGTGCTTTTGTTCCAGGCTGCCCTTTTGCTGCAGGTGCTGAACCTTCCTCTTCCAGCTTCTGCAGCCATTCTGGCAGGATCCTCTGGGATTCATGCCAGAGAAGCCTCAGCTTGAGGAGGGGTTCAGGGAGCTGGTGTGTACTGGTGCCATGGGCCAGCTAATCCTGATGCCATTACAGAATACAGTGCTGTGGGAGTTTTCCCTTCTTTAAATCCCCTTTTAAATGGATCAAGGAGGGTTTGAAGGTTCATTTGAAATAAGGCAACTCCTGACTGGAAGAGGGAATTCAAACTCTGCAGCTGGAAAAACAAAAAGCTTTTAGCTTTTCCAGTCTGTATTCTTTCCTGGTTCCTCCTCTAAGCTGTTTCTGTGGTATCTTCTTTGGTTAAAACTGAAGAAGACTAATAGCTTCCCTCAGGAGCCCCAGGTAGCTGAGGCTGGAAAGCTGACCCTAACCAGGTAAAAGATGCTGAAGCAGGGATGGCCAAGCCTGCATCCCCTGCTCACCCTCCACTGTGCAGATACCCCAGCCAGCAGCTCTGGAGCTTCTGGCTCTGCTCCTGTGCTCACCAGGGGGGTGTCACCTGCTCTGTAAATGTCACCCGAGGTGGTGGCTCGTGCTGTGCTGAACCCCATCCCCACACACCTGTGCCTCAGCCTGCCCCTCTCAGTTCCCCTGCCGGGCTTCACCTCTTGCATTTTCCTGGACTGTTTCATCTTCTCCAGCCAGCTGTTCCCTCTAAGTGTAGAATCCTTTCTAAAATGTCAGAAGCACTTGATTCAGGGTTTGGGTAATAGTTGGATGAAGGTTCAAGCACTTGCATTTACCCAGACTGGCTGACCTGGGCCTCTGCAGGGATCAATTAACTCCAGGCCTTAACACACCATAGAACTGTGAAGCACCACGTTGTCTGCTGCAACTTGTTTGGGTTCTTGGGAGAATTTGGTCCTGCTAAGCCTGAAGTGAATGAAATTCCATGAGAGTTCTAGGTTTGGTCCAGCTCTGTCCCTCTGGCTGTGGTTGCTCTCCCAGCTAATTGCCCAGGAAGCAGTAACGAGCTGCTGCTGATGGTACCGTGTTACCAGACTCCAACCAACTCTTAGTACTTAATCAGCCAAAGTAAATTAGGTGACAAGGAAGCTTGAGCTGGCTCAGACCTGGCCAAGCATAACTTATGACATAAGCAGGATTCAGTTTATGTTCAAGCCTGATGTGCCTTTGATGCATGTGTTGTACCACGAGCCCTTTGGAAACGTCTGAGCTGCTCATCGTTGGGTTTTTTCAGCAGTCTAAGAAAACAGGAGATTCAACAAGTTTGTCACATAATTTGTTGAGCACCAGCAGCTGTGCTGGTCTTCATTTCCAGAGCAAAGAGAGAGTGCTCTTTGTTGGGAGCTGCATGTGCCTGGGTAGCAGGAATTTCCAGGTCGTGGAGCCATGGAAAGGTCCCTTTTGCTGGTGCTTGGGGAGTGAGGGAGTCACTTGGAGAGCTGTGCTTGCTGTGATTCATCTGCGTTCCAGGCAAGGCTAATTTAATGTAGACAATGTCTTAATAACATTACTGAGCTGAGGAAGTCAGTCTGAACTATTTTTCACTGCTCTGTGGCAACGTTCATTTCTGCCTGTCAACACTGCTGGAAACATCTACAGGGGAAGTGTCAACACTGGCCATTGTGATGGCTGCAGCATCCCTGCTCTGGGGAGGGTTCCCAGGGAGCTGGTCCGGGCCAGCAGTGACAATTCCTACCGTCTGCCAAGGGGCTATTTTTAAACAGGTGAAGTGTTTAGTAAATCCAGAAGTGGCTTCCAGCAGGATGGCAGCGGGTGAGTGTGGGCGGGCAGCGCCACGGGGCAGCCCCTGGGGTCACCTCTGCTGCCTCCCAGTAACACCCCTCCTGCTTTTCCTCCCTTCCTCTTCTGCCCCACATCCTCTTCTGCCCCTCTTCTGTTCCACCACAGAGCTGAGCATCTCCCCAGGGGCTGGCAGGGCAGGCAGGCAGGGAGCAGCAGGGGAGCAGCACCCGGGGCACAGCGGGTCCCACCGGCTCCGCTTCCGCAGCATCTTTTGGAAAGCTCACATCTTTTTTTTTCCACAAAGTAACTGACAAATTTTGGGGCCAGATATTTTTGTTAAATTGCTAATGAGAAGCATGTGGGCTGTTGTGAGTGTTAAGATGATCTGAAGTGGCCCCTGAAGTGTGCAGAAGCTGCTCTTGCTTGGAAGAGTCTGCAAAGGGGACTCGTGACTCGAGTCCACTTTCCTTTGGAAACTGCTGCAGCAATAGCCTGAAATTGTTATTTTCTCCCTGGATTCAGCTCCTCTCTGTGTTTCAAAATTTTTCATGGAATGCTATTCATTGCAGTCTAAACCACAAGTTTTAATTTGGAATTTTACTACAGCCAAATAATACTGTGAAAACGGCTCAAAGTAGCAGGCCCTGCTCTCCCCCAGCTCAGCCCTGCAAGCACATTGTTTCAAAACATTCCAGAAAGTTAAATGAGGCTTTTGAGCTTGCCTCTGGAAAATCCAATAAGCTATTCTTACTTCTTGTTTAATGAAAAAGGTAAAATCAAATTCTAGGCTGGACCTTCCAGGAAGCTGTAGTGTTAGGGTTTTCTTTGGAGCAGCCACAGTGGAGCAGCCACTGCTCCTTGTCCCAGCTGAAACTTGGGGGTGAAGATTTCTCTTTTTCAATTATTCTAAGGAAAGCCCAACGAAGGTTTAGGCAGGAGCTCTCTCTTGCAGATCAGTTAAGGGCTGGCAGGGCCTTTGCTTTCTAGTTGAGGAGCTGGATTTCCCCAGCCAGTGCACCCAGCCTGGTGCTGGAGTGGCCACTTGCAGAAATCACTGGCCAGAGAGGGTGGGGGTGATGCTGGGGGCCTGGGGGCCCTGCTCTCACCCACTGCTTCCCTGTGGGCAGGGGACTCGTGGGGGTGTGCTCAGCTGCTGGGGCTGGGG